TTTTTTTTTGGGGGGGGGGGAGAGGAGATTACCGGAGGTGGGAGACAGGGACAGAAAATTGGTAAATCTTAACTTGTCTTGATCTAAAACTTAATTCAGAGATGGTAATTTTGGAGACATTTTTCAAATTCTTACTCTGCAATAGTCTTTGGGAAGAAGTCATTCACCCAGAACAGGAACCCGTATTTTCCTGGCATAAAAAGAAAGATTACATCTGACTTACAGATTTGTCCGAGACAGAAATGCACTAAACAGCATCTGAAGGATACTCTAACAACTTAGGAAACAAGAGCCCCACATGGAACTATCGAAAACACAATGCATTTAATTTTATCAATCTAATTATTATCATTTCATGGTAATTCATCCTTCTAACTCCTTTGCCCTTCAAGTGCAAATGGTTTTCTCCCCATCCTATCAAATTATAGAAGCTCTTCAATAGAATTCAAATTCTTGAAGGAAAAGACCAAAACAAAGAAACCACACGAATACTTCCAGCAATGGAAGATTCACTACAAATGATTTCATGATGTACAGTATAATTAAAAATTGAGTAATATGTCCTAAGAGAAAATATTTCATAAAATATACAAAAAAATTAATATTATGACAATGTAAAAAATAAATAAAATTGAATAAGTGAACTGCATTTGCAGTTGTGCTGAGTAATTGGCTCTTAATCACCATTTCAATGGTTGTAGTTATGATTTTTCATGATTTATCTGATGAGTAAATCTGTCCTTTATAAATACTTATTTGTATTTCACATAAAATATATTTTTACTTCACAAAAAAAAATATGTTTACCCTAAACATATTGGCAGCTTCCATTAGTTTGAGTTTTGTGAGGAAAAGATCTTCTGTCGTCATGGTTTGAGCTTTTGTTTCCAATTCCTGAATAAGAGAAGTCACTAAACCAGCAACATACTGCTCATGTTGAGGATTTTCTGGATCTATGTCAGTCCTGAAATCAGTATGCAACAAACTTCAGTTAAGGAAAAAATCTTCAGACGTGAACACTTAATTATGAGAACCTTGCTAGCTTAAAATCTAGGAAAACAACAAGCAAGAAATACAATAGATGCTTTTTATTTGTTTCTTAGAGAACTTTCCAGAATGATTTTTTTTCTTTACACAATAAGTAACAGTGTTGGACTTCTCCATCAAACATACCAGTTTGCCACACGCTATCTCAAAAGTTTCAACAATGCACAATCATTAAGAGGAACACTAACCTTGAAATCTATTACTAATTTTAATAATTGGTCCACATGTTATACCCGGAAAAACAAACCAATGAAATTGACTTCTCCAATCGGTAGCTGCAAAATACATTTGTTTTAAGGCAGAAATAAAGAATGTAAAGAGAAGGAAGAGAGATCTGAAGTGAGAGTGTGTGTATTTGTCTGAAGATTAATAAATTAGTTTGTACTAGATGAGTGCACATGAATAATGGTGACAATATGCACAAGTGAGAAGGGTATTAGTGAGTATAGTAGAACTCTAATTGTCTGAACTAAATGGGAATTTGGTCAGTTTGGATTCACAGAAACTCAGATAATATGACAGAGCTCAGAGGTCACACAAACACATAGTGGTGTTACAATACAGCACAGACCAGTAATTTACCAGAAACAGGGTATCATAAAGCAGAAATAAATTATGATGGAACTATGCTCAAATATTTCTATTTCTGAAAACCACCCACTTCCCATTTCCTTCCTTTCCAATATAGAAGTATTGAGTATGAAATCCTAGTAATGTAAATCAGTGAAAACTTGTCAATTTTATTATCTCTCAGGGGCAACAATTATATTCTGCAATGTTATCCTGACCCCTTCCTCCTTTTTTTACTTTCCCGAATACTACAACATACAATAGAAAGAAAGTTATGTAACATGGCAAACAATCTATGGTCAAAGTTTTGATGGAAATTTGAAAAATAACATATTTTCTCTTCCATATGTTTCTCCACAGTATGCATACATGAGAGAATGTGCGAGCATTACAAAGGGAGCGAGAGAGAGCTAATGAGAAGCTCAAGTGTGTGCAACTGTGACTGTCATAGTAAGAGCATGTAGGGAAGTATGAGATAAGGATTTGTGTGAGAGAAAATTGTAGTGAGAAATGTAAATGCAAAGAGTGTGTGGGAATTTGCTTAATACAAGTAACCTCTGAGTTGAACTGAGAAATTAGCTCTCTAAATTGAAAAAATGGTTTTTCCATCTAAGAAATTAATTAAATCAAAAATTGATCATTTGATCTATTATTCCAAATTTAAAAGATAATGAATATAATTTATATTTACTTGTAAGAATTTACAATTATGTTTTTATATAATTACAGGAAATAATGATTTTCATGACATATCAAAAGAGATATTTTGTATTGTATTATTCTATAATCAAAATTTCTTTGCAAAATTAAATGTGGTTACCATTATTTGAAAATTCTGAATTGAAGCAGGTTACGGAAACATAGTAGGGTTTCCTATTGCCAAACAAATGCATAATAGTTTTAATTACATAAAAAAGCACTCAAACTCAAAAGATGTTGAATTAATGGGAGCGTTCATTGGATCCAGGTAAATAACTCACAACTGCGGAAGTATATACAACAATATGAAAATATAATTTTGAAAAAGACCATCTTTCCAGTTATTAGCTGTTATTATTATTATTATTATTATTATTATTATTATTATTATTATTATTATTATTATTAATACTACCATAAAGAAAACTACATAACTCTTACCGACATAAGAATCAAGAACTTGAAACAAGTATTTAAAATGGTTTTAGCAAATAATTTACGGTATACCATCATAAATATTTTAAAATGAAATAACACATCAATGACATGAAGAATGCATGAAACAGAACAATACTTGGAGTTGAATCATTTGAAAATTATTGATTATAATTAGATATCATTTTCAATAATTTTTTTTAAACTGATCTGTCACTACCTCACTGAATTTAATAATTATAAACAGTTACATCAAAACTAAAGGAATTATTTTCAGGACTGTAGAGTAAAAGATGATCAAGAAATTGTTATTTCAAAATGCCCATGCACACATTTTTTCAAGTCATTTCCAGCAAGCATAGAAATATAGCTGTTTTATTTGGAACTGTTTGATGTAGAATAGAATGAAGTTTTCTTCTTAACAAAAAATCCCTAACATTCCACTTATTCAAGTACACATCCAGACTACAATGAGGAAACACACTCCTTACAAAGTTCCTTTATTTCATAATACAAATTGCCCTTTTCTCCGTAATGCAATTCAAGCAAAATTTTGAAAAAGTCTTTGACCAAGATACACAAAACATTTTGAAAAATGAAACCAATTGAAGGAGATAACTAGCTTTAACTCAATAAAACACAAAAATCTTACTCATACACTCCTTTTTAGTTCTTCACAGTGGAAGTGTCAACATAACATTGTTTTTAAACTTTTTCACAATTTTTGGAATTTATTACAAAAAGTAAAATTACTTGTTGGCAGGTTGCAACAAACAATTCATAACGCAGTTTATGATGCATATGTTTTTGCTTACTGGTAGAAAATTTTAGATATCCTCTTTTTTAATTTTTAATTTAATAATATAAACAGGATATTTTAGATGGAAGTAGTATATCAAAGTACAAAACAATTAGTTGGAATCAAACCTTAGCACCTCTTCAATGGCTTAAATAAAATTTGGAACAATAGGATGAACAACTTATTTTGAATGCTCATTGCACGAGGGTACTAGTACCTAGTATTCAAATTAATCACATTATGTTTCTCAGAGATTCATTATCACTGCTACTTAGCTCACTTTGACTGTATTAAACAATTTTTTTCAATAAACTAATTTCTTCTTATGAACTTCAACAGTTCTTCCAACACACACACGCACACACAGTAAATTTTGGAATCTCCTAGTAAAAACACACAGTTCATTCAATATTACTGTAAGTTTATTTTGTTGATCAAGACTCACAAAAGCGGTTACCAACAATATGTCACTAAAACACCAAACTTGCTGTTGGACATTTCTGATGTAAAAATTAAAACTTTCTTGCCTTCAAAAAAAGTATGATTCCATAATTATGAACACAACTAACAGCTTCTGCCGAGATGTAAATGTGGCCCAAATTACGTATCACATACCAACATCTAATAACAGAAACTGGCCTCAAATTACAACTCCTACCTTATAATTTTTAAGTTGAATACTTCTTGATCTTGTTACATCTAAAAATAAAATAAATGACAAATAATAATGAATTGAGAAAGACAAAGTCACCTACATCCTCTACTTTTAGGCTCCCTTATTATAAATGAAAGAACAATAGAGGATATTGCACTTACAATGTTTTGTTAATCCTGGTTATCAAATAGTCTTCTACATGTATAAAACATAATAGGAATACAATGTAACCTAAGAGTTCTATGGAATTAAAGGGTATAGGAAAACGTTTTATCAAATACAGTTATTTTCTTACCACATTTTCTCCTCAATCCATGCTGCCAAGAAATGCCTAACTTCAATAGGGAAATGCTCCCCATAGACTGCACGGACTTGTTGAAGTGCATCGCCTTGTAGCTGCTGTGCTTTAGTCCACAGGGACATTGAATTACAGTCCGCTTCAGCCAAACCTTCAAAGATACAATTACAATACAACTTGCAAAGTAAATTCATAAAAGAATGATCATCAATACATACACCCCACTCACCAGAATCTTCATAGCGGCACGATGGCCTCTCTTTTGTATCTTCAGACATGATGTTTATTTATTTTTAATTACAAAAATTTTACACTTATCACAAATATAATAAAGATACCGGAAAAACATGAGGCATACTAGATAAACAGCAATTAATACACTTACATCAACAGATGTATACACTGAAAATGCCAAATACAAAGTACGAAAATATGTGTCCAAAATATTTGTATTGCTTATCTAAACGTTACAGAAAGTGTCTTGTTCCCATATCAACACGATCTCTTCAAAACTACGATCATTGTAACATTAATCAAGAGTGTCGATTAATTACTCAAATACACAACACACAACACTTTTGACTATATATAATTTCACAAAACTATTCGAGGCACAAAGACACGCTTTTCGTTCCTTCTACTGCAAGTTCGGCAAGCTACTAAGTAATCAAAGAGATGCGTCAAGGCAAATTTACAAACACAGTACATTTACTCTACATCAGACGCCACAACGACACACAGTAGCTTATTAGAAACTTACCAAAACTTCAGACTGCTGTTGTCGTCACTCAGACAACGGTTTTCCAACGTTGATGACTAACGTGATTCCGTCTAAACGATTTTACTCAGAAAATATGACATAAACGACCTGCAACACTTTTCCTGGAAGTCTGAAAAATGGCAAAATCACGTGACAAACGCATGCGCATTACATGTAAGAGAAATTGCTGTTCCAAAACCTTGTCGTAAAATGTAAAATAAAATCATTTCCCCCCATATCATTTCCCATACAAAGGCATTGAAATAAGTTTTGCAAATTGTTTATAACGTATCTGATAATATTGAAGATGCTTATATGGGTTATTGGAAATTAAATTGTGACACACTATAGATTCGTAAATTTCTCATAGATATGCAAAAGAAAGAGGAAATGCGAGATCGCAGAGGTACCATTGGGTGATATCATTTGTTCCTGGTTTTCGGAGAAATGCCCTTGCTCAATACAGTAGCCCGGGGTACCCAAATCAATATTGCTGCGTGTTCGGATCACTGGATGCGAAAATTTCGCGAAACATAATGATTTTATACTTATCCCTTTCAAGGCAGTATAAAGCTTTACATACATCCGGAATGTTTTTAAAGAAAATTTCATCCTAAAATGTATATATCGAAATTATAATTACTAGACGTTATGCAGTTAATATATTCAATGACAATGAGTTTGAGATACAGGAAGCTTATCTCAAGCCACAAGAAAACTATAAATTTTCTCATAGAAAAACGAGATAAAAATATGAAAATAATTATTATTTATTACATTTCATCACCAAATAACACAAAATTACGGTAATGTACTGCCTCAGAATATTATAAGTGTTTTTAAACGGTCAGCCAATGTACTTTCGATATAAACAAATACAAGTTAATACAAAAAATGTTTTTATAATTAGTAAATGTATTTCCCAGCAATATTTTTTTTAAAATTGTTTATTAATTTTCCGTATTTCAAAGTGTTTAGTGAGTGTCTGCACTGCACCTTCATTAATTCATTGTGCATATTTTTCACTAGTTTCGTATTAATTATCTCCACTTTTGTTTCATATCTTAATTTACCCTCAGTTTCTTCTCATGTATTACCACTTTCAGTTTCTTCTCTTCTTGTTTTCTTTCTCTTTTTATCATGTACTTCAACGGTATTTTCCCTCATTATACGTCATATTTCTTTCCAGATTCCTAATATCTGCATTTTCGCTACTCCCTTTCATCCTCCAACATGCTCCAACCTATCCTCTATTCGTCAGTCCGTATCCTTTCCTCTCCTCCCCACTCTCTCTGTCCGACCTCCCCTCCCTCTCTGCCACTTCGTCCCGTTTTATGCAGAACTGCGGATTCCCAGAATTGTTCATACAAATCGTTACAATATTATCAATTCCATATAATCTTTTAATATAAATTATATTTTACTATAACATTAATACCGAACTTCTGTTTTAATGTCAGCATTGGAGCGCTTCGCCAATATATTTATCACGGTTGTCGTGTCGGTTTCGTTTTGAAAGCAGCAAGCTTCAAACCTATTTTCGCTAGAAAGCTTTTGAATCGCGAGTTCTCTTTTAGAAATGACCAAAAATGAGTTCATATTTTAAATATTTAAAGTTCATATTTCGTATTGAAGGACAAGTTTCCTGTAAGTACCTTGAAATATATTAGCTGAAGTGAAAGAATATCGGCTTCTACATGAAGTGCGGTCAAGCATTTGATTTCAGTATTTAACCTTGTCTACTATCTCTATCCTATATACTTAAAACAGGCGATGTCTTTCTGTAGCAACTGGGAGAGTGGGATTCGAAATATTTTTCTTAAGGTGATCTGTCTTTTGCACACTCAAAACCAAGCTCATTTTCTCCACCCTTTTAAACCGGTTTAGATTTCTTAGGGCATTATTCCGGTGCTTTCCACCAAGAGGTCCTAGGGTTCGACTCTCGACGATGGCAAGATTTTCGGTACTAGCCACATAGCTAGGTCGAATTCCGCCACTGGAGAATTCTAGCATCTTCCTTACACACACACTTACATGCACTATGTACACTACCGCAGATGGCAGAAGGCCATTCAACAATTTAGAGCTGGCTTAGTCCCGGCTGAAGCGGAGCCCCCCTGAGATGGGAGATACCTGGCACAGGGAAAAATTCCTAGTACCATATAGTTTTACCGTCCCTTGATACATACAAGGAGAAAATTTAAAGAAATAAAAATTGATGAGACTTTTGAGAAAAAGATTGTATAAAAAAATTCAAATTGCCTATACTTGCTGCAAACTGGCATTAGAACAATTCATATTTTCGAAAAATTAAATATGACCTTATTTCAAAATTTGTCTTTAAAGAATAGATTTCATTAAGGAAAAAAATTCTCTCTTTCAATATTGTAGTTGTAGCAAGAGCACCCTCCAAAAAATTGCACTTCTGCAAGTTTCTAAAAACCAAAGAAAAAAATTCAACGAATATGAGATTGCACCATTTCCTTACGCGTCTTTTACGCTATCCGAGGACGAAGTGTAATAATAATATTTGGTTCCATTTGTGAGAAAATTTTGAAAATGTTTTTTAGGCTTTATGTAGAGTACCTTTGAAACTCCCAAAGCCTCGAGTTTGTTTAGATCGATCAGGGAATATCAATTTTGGAGAAAATAGCTTGAACGGTTTAGGCGCTGGCGTTATCCACAAACCGACAGACGGAGACAGACCTTATTCCGTCAATCAATTTTTCGGTATCGAGGAGCCACAAAACATGGATTCTTACTACACCACTTGTTAGAAGAAGTAATTTATTATTTATACGGAGAAATAGGTTTTAGCCACTTTTTCGTTACCCGGGCCCGACACTATGAGATTTTCTGTCGAAAATTCGCCGTTTGCCAGCAATTTTACAATACTTTACAGTGCTTTTAAACAGTACAATTAGCACTACCCGTTGGAAAATTAAAAAAAAAAAAATTGGAGGCATTTTGGAAAAAATGGCGTTTGAGCGTTTCTGAAAAAGCGAAATTTTGAGCTCATTTTAACAAAAAACTTGAGTTTTCGAGAAACTTTGTATGATTTTATTTAAAGCATATGAGCTCATAAATGCAATAATGTGAACAAATCGCCGCTAAATAAATATTAACGACGTGCGAGACAAGTCAAAAAATTACATTTTTAAAAGTTTTGAAAAAACAAAAGAATAGAGTTATATGGCGTTTATGTCATTTTATAGAGTGCATTTAGCACTACCCCGACCAAAAGTTTAAAGAAAAAATTTGAGGACGGTTTGAGAAAATCTTGTTTTTGTATTTTTTTAAAATTGCAAATACTGCGCGAAAGCTACTAAAAGTTTATCAAAAGTATACATGATGTTAATGAATAAACAAATTATGATCATCAAATTTCATTTGAAGGAAAAATCTCTATCTTTAAATTGGTAGCTGTCGGAAGACGTCCGAAAGTTTTCAAAATTTTGAATTTTTCGAAAATTCAGTCAACCCTGAAAATAGACCTATGCCATCTTTATAAGTGTATTTTACCCTATTCTTACAAGAAATTTAAAGAAAAATTTTGAGCCGTTTTTGAAAAAAAATTGAAAATGTCTGTTGGGGCTTCTTGTAAAAGTACCCCCAGAGTTTCAAGAGTTTATCACAATCGCAACGCCTCGAATCGAGCCAGTTCGACAGGGGAATATCCATTTTGGAAAAATCTTAGTTTGATTTAGGCGCTAGTGGTGTTCACAGATGGATTGAGGTCGGACGGACGTTTTGAAGAAAAAAAAATGGTATCAGGGGACACCAAAACATGTATTTCGGTTGAAATCTGAAAATCGATTTTCCGTAGCATTACATAACTTTCTCCATGCCGGTATATACTCAGTATATGAGAAAGTATCTAATGGTGCTACAGAATGGCACAAACTTTTTTTTTTTTGTCTGAGACTTAGCTCTTCGGACTTGGCACATACTCTTGCCATCTATCGCCTCCCAAAATACATTTTTCGAAAATTTCTCAATTTTTCGATTTTCTATTAGTAGAGCCGAAACATTACTTTAAGAATATTAAAGAAGAATGAAACATCGTTCTAAATAGCAGTTTTGATTGAAAAATTTTGAGCCGTTTTTAAGAAAATGGAGTTTAAGCTATACTGTAAATACGAATTATAAGCTCTTTTTCACTGATAATTTTTGAGTTTTAGAAACATTTCATTTAAAGTCATTTGAAGCACTTTCACTCACAAATGCAACATATTTTACAAATCGCTGAAAATGTGTTTATTAACAGCTCAAAGAGATAAAAAAAAAGATTTTGGGTAATTTTTGAAACACAAAAGAATAACCGAAAATGAACTCTATGTCATATTAAACAGTACAATTAGCACTATCCGTAGGAAAAGTTTGAAGGAAAAATAAATTAACATAATTGTTGTTTTACTTACCACCAACAGAGACATCAATGATTTAAAATACAGTAAAACTTATATTATAGCACGTTTTTATAAATATTAGAAACCTTAGCCTTCTATCTCCTCTGGCGCCACAAGAGTAATGGCCGCGTATTCCAACTTCAAACTGCCACAGCACACAGCAGGTACAGGAATTAGGCTTTATGATTTCACAACAAATGTAAGAAACATTCCCCTTTCGAGTGAGATGGTCAGAAGTTCCAAAAACAAACTTTTATTTTTGAGCTTTTCGGCCGTCTGGTCACACCGTGCGGCGGCGTGAGTAGCTGGCAGCCCTCTTCTTCCTCAGCCACTGAATCCACATCATTCAGCACCAGCGGAGGTTTGGAGCTTGGAGCCGTACGCAGGGAGGGGGATGGTTTCGAGTAGGAAGATGACGGGGATGGGTAACCTATGGCGTAAATGATTTCACCATGGTGTAACCCTCGCTATCCCTAAGTATGCCCATTTAATCTGCAGCCTGCATGTGGCCCTCCTTGCCCTCGCCCAAATGGTTACTAGCGACCAAAACATAGTAAATTCTTTCCTCTAGCAGGTAGTGTAGCCAGAAGACATGTTTTGTGGGTCCTTGATACCGAAAAATCGCTTGACGACAAAACGTCGATCTGTCCATCTGTGGTCAATATTAGGCCCTTAACTGTTCAACCGATTTTCTCCAAAATTAATATTCCCCGACCGATCTGAACGAACTCACGACTTTGGGAGTTTCAAACTGGTATTTTAATTTTTGACGGCACTTACATTGTGCCTCAAAAACATTTCCAAACTTTTTTCAAAAATAGCTGCATTTTTTTTGGATTAAACAT